ACTACTACGACTTCTATTGCTACCTCCATTTTACGACGGCCCGATTACGACTATTACGACGACGACGACGGAGATGACGACGTTTAGTACAGTTATTACTACTACTACTACCACTACTACTACTACTGCTACTACTACTACTACTACTACTACTACGACTACTACTACTACTACTACTACTACTACGACTGCTACGACTCCACTACTACGACTGCTAGTATTACTACTACTACTACTACTACTACTACTACTACTACTGCGACTACTACTACTACTACCACTACTACTTCTTCTACTACTACTACTACTACTACTACCACTACTACTACGACTGCTTCTACGACTACTACTACTACTACTACTACTACTACTGCAACTGCTACTGCTACTACTACTACTACTACTACTACTACTACTACTACTACTACGACTACTACTACGACCACTACTACTACTACTACCACCACTACTACTACTACTACTACGACTACTACTACTACTACTACTACTACTACTACTACTACTACTACTGTTACCACTTGGATAATTACCGTTACTACTACCACTACCACTACTACTATTAATTATAATAATACTCGTATTTCTGCTACTACTACTCCTACTACTACTACTACTACTACTACTACTACTACTACTATTTCTTCTTCTTTTTCTACTACGACGACGACGACGACGACGACGACGACGACGACGACGACGACGACTACTACTACTACTACTACGATTGCTACTACTACTCCTACTACGACTTCGACGCGACGACGACGACGACGACGTAGACGACGACGACGACGACGACGACGACGACGACGACGCCAGCGGCGAACACCGCTCGCGGCCCAGAATTGGCCGCCATCGTTCGGCCTGCGCTGCGGGAGATCCGTGATCGCTCCAGGCCGAACGAGCCGCGCGATGCCGAAGAGCAACGCACGAGCCGTCGCAGCGCGAGCCAGCCGCAGTCCCGACCATGAGGGAAGTCGGGCTCAAGGCATGAGCCCCACGTTTGCATAGAGGCGATGGGCTGGCCAGGGCGCGCAGCAGGCAGCCTGCGGACGAGCGAGCGACGGCAGGGCAACCACGGGGCGTCCACACGAGAAGCCAGGGGAAGTCAGAGGCGGGGCGAGGTACTCGGCTGATCGGAAGTGCCGATCAGATGAGGGCGGGTTGAGACAGCTGTAGTGGGCCGTCGGGGGGGACCCTCGTCGCCACGGCTGGACGCAGCTCGGAAAATTGGTGCGTTTGGTACCCCGTCGTTGTTTCCACTTGCCTTGCTCCGAGCAGAGGTGGCCCAAGCAGAGTCAGGTCACATTTTGCTGAAAGTACGGAATCGGTAGCAAATTGTCTCTGCCTGCTCCTCCTTCCCGTCTTCCGTTTTCCTTCCAGTCAGCCTGGAATTGTTTTGGGGGCTTCCTTGCGAACGAATCCCAGCCAGGTTGTCGCCTTTCCCTCTCCGCTTTGTGGTGCTGTTTGTCGCCAGTCGGGCACGCTGGGCGGCCCCCGCGGCAACAAGGCCGAGGCGATGCCGCGCGCTTGCCCGCCCGCCTCGCACCCTTGCGCCCGTGCGTGCTTCCACGCGCCCCATGGGAAAGCCCCATAGCACGTGCTGCTCGCGCCCACATGAGCGCACGCATGATCGGCAAGAGCGTGTGGCTGGCGCGCGTGAGCACTTGCACGCCGTGGGCGCGTAAGCGTGTATGTCTGCACGTGTGCAGGCTCGCTTAGGCACTTGTACGTGCGAGAGTGCACGCATCACACGGGAAAGCCAGCTATGCTGACCAACCCCAACCACTTCACGAGATCATTGGAAACGACTCTTTGAGCCTGGGCACGCGGGTTTCCCAGGACCCGCTTACCTTGTCCTGGAGGCCCGAGGGGTAAGCCCTTGAGTTGGGCATCTCTGAGGGCAGTTCTGCTTTTGTCGGCTCAATCCCCCTCGCTGCCGCTGCAGACACCAGCTTGCCACGCCCCCACACCAGTCGACCACTGCCGACAGGTCTGCTGTGGCAACTAGGGGCGCTCCAGGAACAACCATCGCCCTCGGCGCACCCTCGCCTTCGGTGGAAGGCCAGCGGAGGCTGGCGAACGTGGAGCGGCGGCGCCTCTGGCCAGCGGAAGCTCGGCGGAAGTAAAAGTGAACCGTCATCATGTTCGGATGCAAGGCTTCTAGAGTCAGCCATGTGCCCCGGGAGAACACACCATGAATCCTGCTCTCCTCTCTCCCAGGACAATGTGCCGACGGTGTCCGCCCTCCCTCCGCGTATTGTTTTTTCGCATATGATGTTAGCGAGTTGCTCTTGTTCTGTCTCTCTCTCTCTCTCTCGCTCTCGCTCTCTCTTACGTGTTTTCCCATCCGAGCGTTTTCGGTCCTTCCAAAATCGTCTTCGCGCTGCAGTGTGGGCCTCATTTCAGGAATCGCGGCTCTAATCCCGCCGTTCAGAATGGCGTTTTCGCCCCAGCGCGGGCCACTTTGCTGGATCCAAGTCCTTCCTCATCATCGTCGCCCCCCTCATTTCTCATCCTCCGCCTTCCGCTGGTCCTCCTGCTCCTCCCGCTCTTTTCACTCCAGTTCCTCTTGCTGCTGTTCGTCCTCCCTTTCCTGATGCTCCTCCTGTTCATCCTCCACCTTCTCCTCCTCCTTCTCCTCCTCTTCCTCCTCCTGTGTACGCAGCTCTTCGTTTCTAGTTGCGACGCACAGCACGATGTGGTGCTTTTTGATTTCCAAATCCGCTATGACGCGCGTGCGCGGATAGAGAAGAAAAACAGCGCAATGGGAAGGGATGGGAGGGGGAGTAGGATGTCAGACGGGGCGCGCGTGCACCTAGCTTGTCTCCCTCCCTTGTTGTTTCTCTGTCTCCTTTTCTTTCTCTTTTTCTCTCTCTCACTCTCTCTTTCTCTCTCTCCCTCTCTCTCTCTGTCTCTCTCTCTCTCTCTCTCTCTCTCTCTCTATATATATATATATATGTATGTCTCTCTCTGTCTCTCTCTCTCTCTCTCTATATATATATACATGTATGTAAAAAAAGCAGTTAACCCTATACACCTATTATGAATATGGGTGTGTACGTATGTAGTGCTTTATCTCTCTTCTCTCTCTCTCTCTATCCCTCCCTCTATTTATCCCTCTCTCTCTCGCGTTCTCTCTTTCTCTCTCTATATCTCTTCCTCTCTGCATGTATGACTCAGTGTGTATAAGCATGTGTTTGTGCATCTCTCTCTCTCTGTCCCTATCTGTATGTATGTGTGTGCTTATTTATCTCTGGATTTCTGTATCCCTCTACAGCATACGAGATCGATACATACGTACATGCATAAGTGCATATGGAATAGCATTATACATGTCTGTGTGTGGCGCTCTCTCTCTCTCTCTCTTTCTCGTTCCCTGCCTCTTCCCCTATCTCTCTCTCTCTCTCTCTCGTTCTCGACTCGAAAAAAAGATACCTGCACATGCATGTATGCTTTTCAGACGCATGTACGTAACATAGACATGCATCATCTCTTTCTATGTATGCAAAAATGTGTTTATCCCTCCCTCCCTCTCTATGTGTATATCAAGATACCTTATGTACATATCGCTATGTCGTTCTCTACCTCTGTATTTCTCTATCGCTCTCTCTCTCTCTCGCTCGCTCGCTCTCTCTCTCTCTCTCGCGCGCGCGCGCGATCGACAGCCCCAGTGGCCGCAGAGACCCCCCCTTCGTTCGCACCCGAGCCCATGGAAGACGCGGCGGCCCGCAGGAGCCTGGCGCGCCCCCGCACCGCACACACACCCCGCACACACCCCGCAGCGTCTGGCCCGCAGGCCACGGCCCAGTGGCGCGCAGTCAGCCGCCACTCTCCCGAAGAAGCAGAAGAGGAAGAGGAATCTTGGAGCCGTCTGGGAGTCTGAGATGGCCCAACACTGGCTCTGGCCAGCAGGCAGGGCGGGCAGGTTCGAGGTTCTGGGGTCGACAAGGTGTTCTCCTTTCCTGGCCGGGAGCCGATTTCGAGCCCCCGGACCGCGAAACACAGATCAGGGGTGAAAAGTTACACCAGATGGACCCCGGGAGGGGACCAGGGATTGATTTTGAGCGGATTTGACCTCATCCCCCCCGTCCTGACAGTTTTTCTAGGGTCCCAACTAGTTCAGGCGCCAGGGGCGGCGCCGTAGACGCCGCCAGGGATAGGGGTCCAGTGTAGATCCAAAAAAACCGTGTGGACTTCCGAAAGTTGATGTTTCTGTTGATTGGCCTTGTTTTATTTCTCCCCGCAGCTTCGCGAGGTGATTGCCACGCGGTGGCCCCCAGAGTCATCCAGCTACTGGCACTGAGAGTCCTGCTGGCCGAGCTGGCCGTGTTCTCCCCTGTGAGGTGGCCTCGTGAGGCCACCCTATGAAGGGGACCCTAACCCTATGGAGTAGGGCCCTATTGGGCACATTATTGAGTGGGGTCTTGTTGGATGAGACCCTGTGGGATGGAACCCTAGTGGGTAAGACCCAGGGTAGGACCTTGCGACCCCATAGGGTGGGAACCTATGGGGCTGGACCATAAGGAGTGAGGCCTTGTAGGGTGCAGCCCTATGGAATGGGACCCTGTGGAGTGGGACGCCGTGACGTGAGGCCCTGCAGCGGGAACCCCAAGGAAACGCTGGTAATTGTGGACACGTTATGTCTACCACTGGATAAGAGGAATTGTGGACTATGACAGAACATGAAGAATCGTGCGGGAAAGGCGCAAGGCTTTAGTCGAGTGATGTGCAAAGCACCATTACAATCATGATTGTATGTAAGTATATTTGTGCGCGTCCTTACTGTATGCCAGGTTCGCGGCCTGTGCCGTTTTAGGTACGACTGGCGTGTACGTGCCCATGCAGCGTGCAGTTATGTGACGTGATGCCATGGACTGTCAGGTCGCGCATCGTTTCCTGATACTTCGTGCGAGTGTGATGTGCGCATGGTACGTTCACTGAGGCAAAATCAGGGCAGCCGCATAGTCTGGATCTTGGTAAGGTCATGTAGTATTCGGGCTGCGTTTCATCGACGACCGTATGTGGCAGGTGTGGCTCGAGACCCGAGTGCGGGGCGAGCGCGATGTGAAGGTTTGTGCGCCGGCGCAGCTGGCAACGGCCTCGCTGGCTCTTTAGATCATATCCTCAATCTGGGAGGTGCCGTCGGAAGCCAGGTCTTGTCTGAGGATAACAAACGCAGCATGTCGATTGGGATAATCACTGGTGCTCAGCAGATTTCAAAACGGTCCCTACCATACGGGGGATTCCGCAGCAGCCCGTGGATATGAGCGGTCAAGCGTACAATCGCCAGGCCTCAGTTCAGGTTGGGATACGTGTGGTCATCTCTCTTTCTCTTTATCTATCTGTATAGATGCGTGGTTCTCTAGATTCCCCTTATCTGTTTCATTAGATGTAAGTGCGAATTACTTGTAGTGTATGGCGAAGATCTACTGAAATATAATAGCGTGTACACGTTCTAATACAATACAATAGCATATGTTCCCAAACGGGTGTTTGCATGTATTATATTTTCTTATTTCAGGAATTGAGCCTGCCCGACGGTATGGCGGCTATGTGGTCGCCGTCGCCGCCCCGTCGCCGCCTCGTCGCGGCCCGTCGTTCTGGGCCTGCCCGTCAGTCTGGCGGCAATGTGGTCGCCGTCGCCACCCCGTCGCTCTGGGCCTGCCCGTCGGTCTGGTGGCTATGTGGTCGCCGTCGCCGCCCCGTCGCTCTGGGCTTGCGTTACTTTGCATTGCGTTGCGTTGTTTTGCATCCCGTTCATCTGCATTGTTTTTTCATTGCGCTGCGTTGCACGATTCTGCACTGCTTTACATTGATGTGCATTGCTTCGCCTTGCTTTGCACCGGGGGACGATAAGGTTCGCGATTCCTCCGACCGTTCATTGATCAAACATGCCAGGCGATCCCCACGAAGCCAGTGGATTATTCAAGGACCCCCCCGAGTAACCGAAGTTCCTTTTCACTTGACGATGCCGATCTAGGGCGCCGCATGTGCTTGGATCGGCCCGCCACGGCGCCCCCTTGGATGGGCAGCGGTTTTGAAAATCCCCGAAAAAGTGTTTGCTAAGGAACTGGGCCTGCGGGCCACTCTGGCCGCCATGTGGCTGCCGTCGCCACCAGTCGCCGCCCCTCGCTCGGGCCTGAGGGCCGCTATGGCCGCCATGTGGCCGCCGTCGCCGCCTCGTCGCCGCCCGTCTTGTATTACTTGGCATTGCTTGGCATTGCTTGACATTGCTTGGCATTGCCTTGTGCTACACAGATTGCACCACATCGATAATTGTGCCTTGGTGCTAATGAAAATAGCTTGGCGAAGGACCCAACCAGATGGTGAGTAACGACGTTGCGAATACCGTATTCGGTGGAACTCTTTGTGAGACCACGAATTGCGTGAGGAGTATGCCGGAATGGGCGCCGCGTGTGCATGCAAACGCAGCCATTGGGGCTTTCGGTGGAGCTCCCGTTGGGCCACGACACGTGTGATGGGTATGTCGAAATGGGGCGGGGCCGCCATGCGAATCTTACCACAGGAGCCTTCGGGGGAGCTCCCTTTGGTGCCACGAAGCGTGTGAGGAGTGTGCTGACATTGGGCGGGGCCGCCATGCGAACCCTGCCACTGGGGTATTCGGTGGAGCTCCCCTTGGGGGCCACGAAGCGTGTGAGAGGTTTGCCGAAATGGGGCGGGGCCGCCATGCGAACCCTGCCACAGGGGCCTCCGGTGGCGCTCCCTTTGGGGCCACGAAACGTGTGAGGGGTATGCCGAAATGGGGCGGGCCCGCCATGCGAACCCTGCCACAGGGGCCTCCAGTGGCGCTCCCTTTGGGGCCACGAAACGTGTGAGGGGTGTGGCGAAATGGGGCGGGCCCGCCATGCGAACCCTGCCACAGGGGCCTCCAGTGGCGCTCCCTTTGGGGCCACGAAACGTGTGATGGGTGTGCCGAAATTAGGCGGGGCCGCCATGCGAACCTTGCCACAGGGGCCTTCTGTGGCGCTCCCTTTGTGGCCACGAAGCGTGTGAGGGGTTTGCCGAAATGGGGCGGGCCCGCCATGCGAACCCTTACACTGGGGCCTTCAGTGGCCTTCGGTAGAGTTCCCTTTGGGGCCACGGAACGTGCGAGGGGTTACGCCGAAATGGGGCGGGGCCGTCATGCGAACCTTGCCATTGGGGCCTTCGGTGGAGTTTCCTCTGGCGCCACGAAGCTGTGAGGGATGGGGAAAGTTGTTGGTGATGATGATGATGATGATGATGATGCTGGAGGTGATGATGATGATGATGATGATGGTGATGATGGTGATGGTGATGATGATGATGATGATGATGATGATGATGATGATGATGATGATGATGATGATGATGATGATGGTGGTGATGATGGTGATGGTGATGGTTATGGTGATGGTGATGGTGATGGTGATGGTGATGGTGATGGTGATGGTGATGGTGATGGTGATGGTGATGGTGATGGTGATGGTGATTGTGGTGGTGATTGTGATGGTAATGGTGATGGTGATGGTGATCGTGGTGGTTGTTATGATGATGGTGGTGATGATGAGGATGAGGATGATGGTGATGGTAATGTGATGGTAAAGGTGACGATCATGATGATGACGATGATGATGATGACGATAATGATGATGATGGGGATCGGGATGGTGATGTTGATGGTGATGGTGAGGTGATTGTTTAGTGATGATGACGACGACGCCGATGATGTTGAAGTGGTGATGGTGATGATGATGGTGATGATGATGATGACTATGCTGATGATGATGGGAGGAGGGCGAGGAGGGGAGGAGAAGGAGGTGACGCGGGGCGATGTCTTTTCAAAACGAGAACCCAACACCACAGGATGGTTGGGAAAAATATACCGCACTCCCCTTGTTTATCGACCGTCCTCGGGGTTGCACGATATACGAACGATTATGCCGCATCGTGCATGTAGAGATGAATTCATAACACCCCAGCCCATCCGGCATCAGCCTTCCCTCCCCCCGTCATTCTCATCAAATAACAGTATGTGCCCAGTCTCGTTTACCAAGGATCTTAAAGTGTTCAGATATCCACTGCACAATGACATCCTGGCACGGGCCCATTGATTTGCAGTTGTGAGTACCGCGTTGTGGGTACCGCGTTCGGTGAAGCCTTTTGGTGTCACGAAACGTGCGAGGGATGTGCCGAATTGGGAGCGATGGTGCCATGCGAGCGCACCCACTGAGACCGGCGGAGCCCCTTGTGTGGCCCCGAAGCGCGTGATGGTGCGACTAAATTGTCGCGGTTGCGCCATGCGAGCGCAGCCACTGGGCCCTCCGGCGGAACTCCCCTTGGGACCACGAAACGTGTGAGGGGTGTGCCGCAGTGGGCAAGGTGGTGCCATGCGAGTGCAGCCATTGGGGCTTTCGGTGGAGCCCCCTTGTGTGGCCACGAAGCGCGTGGAGGGTGGGCCTACATGAACGCGGTGGTGCCATGCGAGCGCAGCCATTGGGGTCTTCGCTGGAGCTTCCTACGAGACCACGAAAGGTGTGATGCCTGCGCCGAAATGGGCGCGGCGGTGCCATGCGAGCGCAGCCACTGGGGCCCCCTGTGAAACCCCCTCTATGCAGCCACGAAACTTGTGAGGGGTGTGCCGAAATGAGCGCGGTAGTGCCATGCGAGCGCAGCCATTGAAGCCTTCGGTGGAGTTCTTTTTGGGACCACGAAACGTGTGAGGGGTGTGCCGAAACGGGTGGGTGCAGTGGTGGCATGCGAACGCAGCCATTGGGGCCCTCGGTGAAGCCCCCTTTATGGGGCCACGAAACGTGTGAGGGGTGTGCCGAAATGGTTGACTGGTGCGGAGGGAAGAGGCAGGGTTGGGAGGAGGGAGGAGGGGGCAGCATGAGGGATAACGCGGGGCGCTCCCTTTTTCAAACTGAAGACCAACACTACAGGATGGTTGGGATAACAAAATCCACACGCGCGCCTCGTCGCGCGCACATGCCGGAATTCCCCCAAAGCTTGAAGTATCGTAACGAATTCGAGATCGAGTGGCCGAAGTATACAGCAAGAAAATGAACACGGTTGTGCAGCATGTGTTTGGGCAAATGTGTGTTTTTGCGAATGTTTGCAAGAACCAACGGCTTTTCAACCCGTTCATCAAATTCGACTAAGGGGCCTCTCGCGCGCGCATGTCGAATTCATTCGAATGCCCCTGCGCATGTTCTTGGAAGCACGATCCCTGCCAAATAATGCCATGCGAGCCACTCACGCCCGTCGGCCTCGCGCGCACGTCGAAGTCCTTCCAAAATCTTCATCACCGGCACGTGGACACCATCATCGTTATCGGCGTGATCAGCACCAGCGCCGTCATCGTCACCGTCGCCACCAGCATCGCTACTATCATTATCGTGTCTGCCGTTGTCGACGTCGCTTGATACCGCGCCCGCCCGAGCCACCAATTCGCACCGAAGTACCCGCGCTTCCGCGCGGCCTGCGAGACGCGCTGGGAAATCCCCAACGGTCAGCGCCACCACGGCCACGTCGGTCGCGACAGAGTAACTGGCCGTTCTGCGCCCGAGGCTGCGCGCTTGCGGGGCCGCAACGGTGCTCTATCCAGATCCCAGCGGTCATCGCAATCGCCGCCGCAAGAGTTTTGCAAGCCAAGTTGCGGGTGGGTGGGTGGGATGATTGCGCGAGCAACGAAGTTGGCGACGGCAAGTTCGGCAAGGCGAAATGCACTGCATATACTGCAACACGTAGATTGGGCTGCATATTTTTTCTCCAGATAGGCTTGCCCTATGGGAGTCCGAGTTCATCATAAGCAATTGGTCTTGAGCACCCGCCCTTTTCAAATGGCACCCCCCCTTTTCCAATGGCATTTGCTTGCTTGCTTGCTCTTGCGTGTTTGCTCTCGCGTGCTTGCTCTTGCTTGCATTTGATCGCTGGCTTTTGCTTGCTTGTTATTTATCGCTTGCGCTTGCTTGCTTCCGCGTGCTTGCTTGCGGTTGCTTGATGTTGCTCCTCCCGACCTCTCGTCCTGCTGCCGCCTTCCTTCCGTCCTCCTCCCATCCTCCTCTCGTCATCCTCCTGTCCTCCTATCTCATTGGGGTCAACGCTGGCTGATATTCTAGAAGGAAATAGACCTACAACCCCATGTGCGGTTAACCGTAGGCCTCGCGGCCTGCAGATTGCAACTGATTCTGCCTCATCGGTCGCTCGAAACATGAATTCGTACCACTTCAGGGGAGCCAAAATCGACTTTTCCCCCGCTTCCTGACAAGTAATATCACGCGCTCACTCGTTTTTCGGTTTCCAACATGTCCGTTTAATGCGACCAAGCAGGCCTTTCGCGCGCGCATGTCGAAATCATTCGAGCGCCTTTGCGCTTGTGCTAGTGGGGCACGATCCGTGTCAAATACTACCATGCGGGCCTCTTGAGCCCGTCGGCCGCGCGCGCATGTCGAAACCCTTCCAAGACCGTCATCGCTGACACGTGGACACCATCTTCGTCATCGTCGTGATCAGCATCGGCGCCGTCATTGGCTTTGCCGTCGTCATTGTCACCATCGTCCCATCGTCACCTTATCGTGTATACCGCTGTCGACGTCGCAGTGATACCGCGTCCGCCCGATTCTCCGACTCACACCTAAGTGCCCGTTCGTCAGTGTGGCCTGCAAAAACGCGCCGGGAAATACCTGTCAGCGCCATCGCGGCCACGTCGGTCGCGCAAGATTAGTTGGCCGCACTGCGCGCGACCTTGCGCGCTTGCACGGACGCACCTACGCGAGCAATGGAGTCCGCATTTAAGGTTCGGCAGAGTGTATCGCATTGCATTTGTTGCGCCACATGGTACGCTAGAGCCTCCTGTTTGGAGCCCACGTTGGCTACCATATGTGTATATATGTAGAGACTTGCATATACGTATACATGCACATGTAAATATACGTGTACAAGCATATATATATACATATACTTACATTATATACATATGTATGTGTGTCTACAAATATACATATATGTATACCTATGTGAATATTTATATGTTCCCGCACGCACCATGAACCCATTTTCTTCTTGGAAGATGGCACAATCAAAGGGGCGGTTCAGGTGCGTGGGCTGGCCGTGACGGCAGAGGTTTCGGGATGGGGTCGCTCGTGCGTCGAAGACAGGAGCTGTTGAGTACTGGGTGTTGTGTTGTAAACGGTGGGAGTGGCGAGGAAGGCTCTTTTCAAGGTCAGTTTGGGAAACGAGTCTGTTGAGTGTTGGGTGTTGTGTTGGAGACGGAGGTTGTTGAGTACTGGGTGTTGTGTTGTAGACGGTGGGAGTGGAATGGACGCTTGTTTAGAGGTTTGATATGGGGAAGGAGCCTGTTGAGTGCGGGGTGCTGTGTTGGAGACGGAAGTTGTTGAGCATTGGGTATTGTGCTGTCGATGTTAGGAGTAAAGTAGGAGTTTAAATCCAAGGTCAGTTTCGGGAGGGAGCCTGTTGAGTGTTAGGTGTTCGTTGAAATGGAGGCTGTTGAGTACTGGGTGTTGCGTTGTAGACGGAGGTCGTGGAGTATAAGGTGTATATTGAATGTCAGCTGGGGGGGGGCTGTTGACAGTTTGGAATTGTGTTGGAGACGGAGGCCTTTGACTACTGGGTGTTGTGTTGTAGATGGAGGGAGTGGAATAGAAGGGCATGTTCAAGTTCAGCTTGGGGTGGGAGCCTGTGGCATACTGTGTGTTGGAGACAAAGGCTGGTTAGTACTCGCTGTCGCGTTGTAGACGGAGGGAGTTGAGTAGGTGGATATCTTCGTTTGGAGAGGGAGTTTGTTGAGCATTGGGTGTTGCGTTGGAGACGGAGGGATTTCAATAGGAGGTAATTTTGAAATTCAGTTTGGGAAGGGAGCTTGTTGAGTTGCAACAGAGACGAAGGCTAGCTAGTGCTGGGTGTTGAGTTGTAGACGGAGGGGCTAAAGTAGAAGGTCCGAAGTAGAGCCGGACAAATCCTTGAAACAGAAGCATCAAATTTGAGTGCGATAATCGTAGAAGCCATTAGTGAGTTCACCTGTTCTATGCACAAAGAGGAGTTCATGGTGTGTCCTGAGGGGTGTTGGAGACGAAGGCGGTTAGTACTCGTTGTTGCGTTGTAGACTGAGGGAGTTGACTAGACGGACTTCTTCTTTTAGGGAGGGAGTTTGTTGAGTTTTGGGTGTTATTTCGGAGACGGAGGCTGGTTAGTATTGGGTGTTGTTTTGTAGACGGAGGGGTTTCAGTAAAAGGTGAATATGAAGTTCAGTTTGGGGGGGAGCTTGTGGTGTAGTAGGTGTTGCGTTGGAGACGAAGGCTAGTTAGTACTTAGTGTTGCGTTGTGGACGGAGGGGCTAAAGTAGAAGGGCCGAGCTTGCCCTGGAAAATCCTTTCAAAAAGAAGCCTCAAATGGAGAGCCGATTACGTAGGAGTCATTGATGAATTCGGTAGTTGTATGCATAAAAGGGTTTCATACTGCGTGCGGGGGCTGTAAACGGTTTTATATGTATACACAACTACACACATATGCACTGCTATACATATATAAATTCATGCAAGGATACATACAGACACACATGCATGCATGCATGCATGCAGACACATACGTACATACGTACATACATCCATCCATGCATACAGGCATGCACACAAATATACCCTATCTACATATATGTGTATGTATGTGTGTATGTATGTGTATAGATATAAAAATGGATGTAGACATGTCTCATATATATATATGTATGTAAATGTGTATGTCTCCGTAAGGGTTTCTCCCCCTGCCGCCAGCCCTCTCTCTTGGAGAATGGAACATGCAAGAGCTCTGTTGTGAGGCCTGGGCGCGGTTGTGAAGCAGCGTCGGAACTTCGAACGGGGGCCACTGGAGATATGAGCGTGCCAAAATCCATCAAAAACCTGAATAAGATTGCAGATGTTGGCCTCTTGGGCCCCTCTTGAGGGTGCTCTTACAGCGCTTTTGGGAGCCTCTTGGGTAATCTGCTATGGTGTACGGCCTCGGGGACACGAATATTGTATAACATACAAGGGATTATGGCTTCGGGAGCGTGAATCTGGCGTCATGTTTGAAGAACTGTGGCTTCGGGGGCGCGCATCTCACGTATTTTTCGTGTCCCAGGACCCCAGGAATTTTGAGAACGCCCCCAGGTGGTGGTAACCAGAGCCTTTTTCGGCTCCCCCCCCCTCGCGCGCATTTCAAGAATTTACAGTAGGAAGCAGAACGTAGGCTTATCACATGGGAGACTTGAAGCTGGAACTGGAGCAGGGAGCAGCAAGCCTAACCCGCGGAGCCCTGTGGCCCCACAGGGGGGAACCGCGGACATGTAGATCTGTATAAATGTATATATACATACACTATGTATGTGTACATATACATATGCATATGTTTATTTATGTGTGTTTATTTATATGCATATATATATATATATATATATATATATATATATATATATATATATATAGCGCTGGCGGCGGGATCTGGGGCCCCGGCCCAGGGACCCCGACTCTCCATAGGGTTACCAGGGCCTTCTGGGACGTCGGGGGGGCCTCAAAACGGGCCCAGCGAGCCCAAACAGCTCCGAGAAGCTTCCAATACAGTCCGAGAGGACCCCGATATGGTTCAAGCGCGCTCCAAGACGCGCAAAGATGGCCCCAAGACGGCCCACATGGCACCCAGGACGCCCCAAGAGCGCCCCTGCAGGCTCGATCCGATGCGGGGTGGTTCCTTGGCGATCCGATCCGTTGCAGCCAAGGTCAGACGCGCTCGACAGCTAGCATGCAGAGCGAGCGATCCTCGCATCCAGCTGGAGACCGAGAGACACCAGCCAGGGCCGCCTGCGATCCGATCTGGCTCGATTCACTGGCACCGGCTGGTGCCAGCCAGCGTCGGGCGCGGCGGTGCGATCTCGATCCCACTCGGGGCGATTCGTTGGCGCTCCGGCTCGTTTCCGATCCGATACGCTCTCTCCGTTCGACCCAGCTCAGGCCTGCTGGTCGCGCGGTTGCCGCGGGCGGCGGCGCAGCTGAGATGCCAGGGCACGGCCCGAGCGGGCGGTCTGCCTCCAAGGCGGTGCTGTCCGCGACGGGCGGCGGCATCGCCGTCACCGTGGCCCAGAGGGGTGGTTGCTTTCTGCCTGCGTCCATCGAGGCCTCCCAGGCGGGATCACAGTGGATGGGGTCGGAGGATCGCGCCGCATCGCCGATGCGTCGCCGATGCATCGGCGATGCAGCTCGATGCGGAGCCCGATTTTCTCCACGCCGACTGCGCCGAAGCATCGCCGACGTCTGCGATACATCACCGATGCATCGGCGATGCATTGGCGATGAAGCGCGATCCTCCGCCCTTATCTACTCGCACCCCAATTAGGAGGCCTCAAATCCTCGCATTTGCTTTTGCCGCTCGGGGGACGACACTGACAGGGTCCATTTAGATCCGATCGGTCCGAAGCGACATCGGCTCTGGCCAGCCAGACGATCCGATGCGACCCGATGCTCGCAGAGTGTTGTTGTGCATCCTGGCGCAGCCGATCCGATTCAATCTCGACTCTGCACCGATGCACGCCGATCCGACGCACATCCATCCGACTTCCCGATTAGATGCTGACTGAACTTGCACTAGGAGTCCTCGTCACCTCCACGGGGCTCGGCTCGAAGCTCGGGAGTCGGTCGGTGCCGGGTGCTTGATTCTGCGAGGATCTCGCCATGTGCCTTGATGCCCTGTGGACAAGCAGGCATCGAAGGGGCTACGGCGGGATCTTAGCAAGCATCGACGGGGCCACGGCGTGGTCGCGACGATCGCTTACTCATGTCATCGAATACTTAAAAATCGGCGCATACACAAACGTTAGGCGCTCTGCGCAGATATCTTGGATCGGCGCTGGAAATCGTGAACTGCGTGAGGGACGCGCCCGAGGATCATGATGCTGAGCATGCCCCGACGCAATAATCGCCTCCGAGCTCCACTCCCTCGGAGAGGTGCGCCCGAGAAGTGCCTCGCATGCCCAGCTGCCTGCCGTCAAGTCCGGGCACCGTGCCGGCGCGGCACGCCCGGCGGCCGCCCCGCAGGCACCGCCCAGGGGGCCACAGCATGTGTGACGGCTTCCGTTCCGAGCCTTGGGACGGCTGTGGTGTGTGGCATGGCTTTTTCCGCAGCTTGTGTCGGGGTGCCTCTCCTCGCTTTCGACGTGGTGGTCCCCCCTTCCCTCCTTAGGGCGCCTTGGAGACCTTCGGAGGGCGTCCTGGAGGCCCCTCGGGGGCCTGCTGGGGATCCTCAGGCCGTCTCAGGGTGCTATTCGGCCGTCCAGCGCCTTCGGAGTTCTTATCGAAGGCCTCTCTGGGCCGTCTCGGGGTCCTCACGTGACTTGTTGGTCTCATCGGCCGTCTTGGAAGCTTCTTGGGCCCTCTCGGGGGCTTCTTAGGAAGTTTTGGTGGCCCCTGGCCCGTCTTGGGCTGACGGAAGCCAGGGAATGCGAGAACGCGAAAATCGATCAAATCGTCTTCGGAAACCAACGAGTTTGGCATATTTGGGCCCTCGTGGGTGTCCACTTGGGCCGCACTGGGACTGTTTGGGGGGCCGTCTTGGAAGCCCGGAAAGGCCCGAACCTGAAAACCTGATCAAAAATAAAGGTCCATGTGCGGGGCCTCGTCGGGCCTTCCTGGGGGCCGTCTTGGACCCCGTCTTGGGTCGCATTACGGTCCTCTCGTCTAGAGGCCATATCGGACTGTCTCTGGGCCACCTTGGGTTATCTTGGAGGCATCTTGGCAGCCTCTGTGGACGTCGGAGAGCCTTGGAGAGTGCCAGGGAGGCGTCAGGCCGCTCCAGGAAGCCTCGGGAGGAGGGATACATGCAAGGAAGTGCGGGGAGAGGGGAGGGGTCCCTCAGAAATCCTGCCACACAGCACTGGGCATTCCACCACGCCTCCACGTGCCAGGGGACGCAGTGGTCGGTACAGTCAAGACGCCGAGATGAGGACCACGTTGGGCTGAGGAGGGGTCTAGGATTTTCTGGATCGGACCGTTCCTTCTAGGTCGGGGAACCGATTCGTGACCGAGGCTCGCCGTGGCCATAATAGAACGTCGTTCCTGATTCAGCGTTCTCTACGGTAGCATTGCACCACATTGAGGCACGCCGGGGGTCCAAGAAGTGCTGGTTCGGGATCCACGCTGGCAAACACCTGGCTGTCGCTCGAGCTTGCCACTTGGAGGCGCGTTTGTGCGGATTTGGCCTGACAGCCAGTTCGGCTTGAGCGGGCGCCCCGTAGGACAGCGGCACCTGGACCACGCGACCATCATCAGATCGAAACCACCACTTCCACATCGCGTCGTGAAACACCAATTCCACATCGCTCTCGCGACCGCCGAGGCAGCATGGGGCTGGTTCGGGTCGGTTCGGCAGCGGGCCGGTTCGGTTGTAGCGGTTCGGATTCGGCGCCAGTTCGGTTTGAGCCGTTTCGGTTTTGCCTCGAGACGGGTCGGTTTCGGGCGGTCCCGTTCGGGTGATCGAAAGGTTGGCGCGCAGTATGTTACAGGTCATGCGTGTTGCGGCCGCGGATCGAACCACCCCCCCAAAAAAACATGAGCAGGAGGAGGAGGAGGAGGAGCGATGGCTGACGGACCTACAGAGATTGCTTGCCGTGCAGAGGCTTGTTCTAGGATTCTACCTCTACAACTCGATCAGGCATTTGTCTGCGATTGATAATGATATGATACATTCGCACGCCCGTGCTGCTCAGTCTCAGCTCTTACAGCAGGCTGAGACCGAACCGTGATGACCTGCGAACTCTTCACTGGATACGTCCGAGGAGGAGGAGGAGGAGGAGGAGGGAGAAGGAGGAGGATATTCCTTCTCCCTCCTCCTCCTCCCTCCTTCTCCCTCCTCCTCCTCCTCGTGAGGACCTGCGAACTCTTCCCTGGATACGTCCGAGGAGGAGGAGGAGGAGGAGCGATGGCGGCCACGGCGAGCTCCGGGAGCCGGGTCGCCCCCCCTCGAGCCGCGGGGGGTGCGGGGCCCGTTTTCTGGAGGGGCACGGGGGTCAGAAGTCGAGGGGAGTCGGAGGAGGAGGAGGAGGAGGAGGAGGAGGAGGAGGAGGAGGGAGGAGGAGGAGGAGGAGGAGGAGGAGGAGGAGGACGAGGAGGAGGAGGAGGAGGAGGAGGAGGAGGAGGAGGAGGCCCGGAAACGGCTCGCCGAGGCCTTCCGTCTGGGAGCCGCCTCTGAGCTTCCTGGGGGGAGCGAGGGGGCCCCCGTGGGGCCCTCTGGGAGCGCCCTGGCGGAGCTCTCGGGGCCGTTTCGCTGGGGTCCTCACAGGGCCCCAGCGGATGCTACAACGCGCCCCTCTGTTGTAGCATCCGTCGGGGGGCGTCTCGGAGCTCCTTGGGGAGCCTTTTGGGGCCCTCTTGGGCCGTCCCGGAGCCGTCTTGGTCCGTCCTGGAGCCCTCCTGGAGCCGTTGGCCGCTGGAACTTTACGGAGCCCGTCTTGGGGCTTTTTTGGGCCGTCCTGGAGGCCTCTTTTGCAGGCTGGTTCGGTTCCACCGGTTCGGGTTGACCGTTCGGGCCGTTTTCGATCGGCCAGTTCGGTTCGAATCAGCCGATTCAGTTTCAGCCGGTCCGGTTTTGGTTCTTGTTTGGGCGGCTCGGTTGCAGGAGCCGCCGGTTCACGGTTACCAGTTCGGTTCAAATTCTTCCTGCGCCGAGGGCGCACCGCACGGAACCACAGTTGCTTCTCTCTTGGAAGAATGGCCATGGGACCGCATGATACCGCATAGCACCGCCGCGACCCACCAGTTTTTTTGTTCGAGCTCCCGGGCACGGCAGGCCAAAGCAAAGCACTGCACCTCCGCACTTGCGCATGTTCTCTCCGGCGACGTGGACATGGCACCACATGATTCTGGGCGGGACAACCATGGCTCACAGATTTGGTTTTAGAGACGCGGACACGAGACTGCCTGACAACACCGTGGCCCACTGTTTTTTGCTCGATCGTTTTTGCGGCTTGTACTCAGGACCTCGGCACGTCACCGCACGGCACCGTACCCCCATACGTAGATGCAGAGTTTCACGTTTGCTATACGTACAGCATGTCACAGCCGCGGAGGCACTAATTCTGTTTCCAAGCCTAACTCCATGGTACCAGTTGTGCCGCATTGCACAGCCGTGGCCCACCGAATCTTGCCTGTCGGGTACCGCGGCTTGGGCCGCGTGGCATCGTTGGGGGCGTGTTCGAAAGCCACGACATGGCATTGCCGCTGGCCACCGGCACGGCTGGGGCTCCCAATGATGATTGGGTTATTTTAGAAAGGGCATTTTGCATCTTTAGTCTGTCTCGACCTCAGCCAAACGATGTCGTTGACAAATTTCTGCAAATAGGATGTCTAAGGTTCTTGTATCACTAGTACCTCGCACCCGTCTGCATTCGTGGTCCCGCAGTGGCACCACCGCGGCTCACCAGTGAGATTCTCGGGAACCGCGTGGCATCATGGGGGACCGCTGCGCCATGATGCGGCTCGTGGCCCGCCGATGTGAGTTTCGAGCGGGCCGACATGTCAGTCAGGTTAGAAATGCCACTCTTGGCGCAGAGGATCAGTGCAGGGAGCCTTAAAAAACAGCTCTGGAGCACGACGCGAGTAGACGGCAAGCTGGCGAGAGAAGGGGAGAAGCAAGAGGATGAGGGTGACGAGGAAGAGGAGGAGGAGGAGGCCGACGGGTTGGATAAAGAAGAGGAGGAGGGGGCGTTCAGGGGAGGGGAAGTGGAGGAGCAGGAGGAGAATGTGTATGGGGGACGGGAGGAGGACCAGTTTAAACCCAAGACACATCAACGATGCTGCAATTCGCCCTCCTCACAAGTTCCCTCTTCATAGGTCCCTTGAGGAATGTATGTTCGTTGCGCGAAGTGTCCAATTAGAAGACAAACCGTCTGATAATCCTGAATCGTGTCAAACACGCAGCTCTTGGGACTTCCGCGCCGCGGATCAACGTGACGACTGCGTCCTGACAATCCGAAATCGTGCCAGAAAGCCGTTCCTGGGACTTCAACACCGCGAATCAACGAGATTGCTAGGTCTTGGCTATCCTAATTCGTACCAGAACACAAGCTGTGGGACTCCAACCATACAAACCTTTCAAACCGCTGCAACTTGCGCGGTGCTAAGGCGAGGGCCACATATTGAAAGGAGCCGCCCTCAATCATCGAAGCTGCTGCAACATGTAAAGACGAATTTGCACGTCGCTAAGGCGGGAGCCACATTTTGGAAAGAAGTGCCCTACATCCTTGAAATTGCTGCAATTTTTTAAGACGAATGTGCGCATCACTGAGGCGAGAGCCACATATTGAAAAGGAACAGCCCTCCAACCTTACAATTGCTGCGATTTGTTTAAGACGAATATGCGCGGCGTCAATGCGAGAGCCACATTTTGAGAACAATCTGCCCTGCATCCGTGAAGGTGTTGCAACTTGCAAGATTCAGGATCTTGAATGGCGAGGAAGTCTCAGGCGAAACACCCAGCCCGCCCTACCGACGCGCCTCTGGGTGCGAAAGGGAGGAGTTGTTGATAAGGAAAATGGATGGAGGACGACGAGCAGGAGGATGCGAAAGAGGAGGCGCATGGGGAAAAGGAGGGAGAAGGAGGAGGAGAAGCAGGCGGAGGAGGAGGAGGGGGGTGAGGAGGTGGAGGGAGGAGGGAAAGAAAGACGTGACTGCTATTTCATTTCTGGTCTTTGCTTTCACTACGGCTTCCCTTCTCACCCGACGGAGGAGGGAGGAGGGAGGAGGCGAGATCAAGGGAGCGACGGGCGGACGTGAGGCGCTCGCGCGCACGCGGCTCGTGGATGGGGGACCCGGGGGCAAGAGGTCGGGCACCCGCTGGACACGCTCAAGGTGCTTCTCCAGACCCAGGGGCAACCGAAGGAGGGATCACCGCTGCCCCCCGGGGGGGGGGGGGAGCAGCCTGGGCGTCCTTCGTCGGGCAAAAGTCAGCCACGCTCAGGAGCGACCCTTTGCCAGAGTGACCTTTGGTGCGGGCCCACAGGGGTCCCCGAGACTTATGTTGCTTCACATCAGCAATTTGGCCCCTGCTGACTTTCTTCAAAATAATATGTTGGGATGAAACGCTGCCGCTGGATATATCGAGCACAGTTGATCACAACACAAACGCTCCTGCGATCCCCGCCAAAATGGCAAGAAATGGTAAGCTCAGATCCGCATGGCTACATTGCAACCGAACCGCTTGACCACCATCTCGACCGAACTGGCGGAATTCGACCACGCGTCCGACAAAATACGTTCGACGAGGGATGCGCTGCACAATGCCCCGGCCACGGGCAGCGCTACGAGGGAAAGCGGGCCCTTCGATGTGTCACTTTCAGCGCCCGTGAAAGTGACACCTCCCAGGGCCCACTTAAAGAGCACCAGAAAGGCTCCAAGAAGGCCCCGAGAAGGCCCCAGGGCGGCACCAAGAGGGCTCCCAGAGGGACCCAAGAGAGGCCCCAAGAAGGGCCCAAGAGGGCCCTCCGCGGTGTCACTTTCAACGCCCGTGAAAATGACACCTCCCAGGGCCCACTTAGGGCCTCAGAAAAGCTCTAAGAAGGCCCCGAAAGGGCCATAGAGAGCCGCCCTGGGTTCAACTCCGCGTGGCGGAGTTGGAAGCGATAACTTCAATACCCTACTGGAGGCCTCTTAGGGGCCCTAAGACGGCACTGAAGAACCCCATCGGGGCTTTTTCAAAGGCAGAGGAGGGCGCAAAAAGGGGCCTCAGTGAGCCCCTGGTCTAACTCCACCTGGCGGAATTGGAAGCGATATCGCCCGGCGCCTTCATGGAGCCGCTCGGAGCTTCCAAGACGGCTCCAGAAGGCCCCAGGAGGGCCCCAAGAGGATCGAACGACGATTCCTGGAAGTGCACCAGTGAGACCCTTGTTGACCTCCGCCTGGCGGAGTTGGAAGCGACAATTTCCAGTGCCCTCTTGGGGCCTCTGGGGGGCCCCTCAGAAAGCTTTGGGGAGCACAGTGAAGGCCTTCGCAGGGCCGCGTGAGAGCCGTACCAGGGCCGCATGTGTGCGCGGATGGGGGCGACGAGTGCTGACGCTGACGAATATGAGAATGATGAGGGCGATCAAGGCTGGCCCGAAACAAATCCTGGCGCCATTGCAGGCCGCCGATTATCGGCCACGCCGCCAGGACGACGCCAAGCAACAAAACGACACCAACCAACAAACCGACACCAACCAACAAACCAACAAATCGACACCGGCCAACAAAAGGACACCAAGCAACAAAACGACACCAAGCAACAAAACGACACCAACCAACGAAACGACACCAACCAACAAAACGGCACGAATCAACAAAACGGCACTGACCAACCAAACGACAAATCACTTCACGACACCAATGAACAACGCGAAATCCACCGACCGCCAACCAAGCATAAAATCAACCGACACAACGAAACCAACCCATAGAGCCAGACCAACCACTGGATTCGTGAGTCGGGGTAGTCATGGAAGTGAGCCGCTGCAGCCCGCGGAAGCCATTAACAGTGACCAGAGCACCGCAATGCAGCAACGTCCCCGGGCGGCGGCGGGAGTCTTGGATCTCCCGCGGGACTGGAGCGTAGCGAGTTCGTCCTGGGTCCGGTTTAGTGAAGTGAAGAATTTCGGGGTGCTTGCATGGCAAAAACCTTCACTTCACTAATCTGGGGCCCCTGGAGCCCCAGGGCGTTTCAGGTCCCCTCGCTGTCTGGGTAGTCCAGGGGGCGCAGTGGCGGCTTACCAGAGGCCCTGTTCCCTAGCCTCACTTGCTTTCACCCGTGGTGCTCGACGGCCGTCTCGGAGCTGTCTTGTGGCGGTCTGGGGCAATCCCGAAGCCTCTTGGAGCCATCCCAAGGCCCCAAGGCGCCACCAATGGGGGCCCCAAGAGAGCTCCCAGAGGGCCCCGAAAGGCCTACAACAGATTGCACGTTCGCGCGAATTCTTTGTACCACTTTGGGGGGTCCCTCTTGGGGCCCTCGGGGAACGTTCTTGGGGCCCTCCGAGGGCCCACTGGGGCCCCGGGAAGGCCCCAAGAACGCTCCCAGAGGGCCCCAAGAATGCTCCAAGAGGGCCCCAAGAGGACCCCCACAAGTGACAAAAACTATTTGCATGAAGGTGCAACTTACTCGGCGCCTCTTGGGGCGCTCTTGGAGCCGTGCTGGGCGCCACTCGTGGACGACATGGGCTGGGCGACGGCATGTGGACCCTGTCGCTTGGGCCATCGGGGGTGCTCCCCAATGGGGCCACGAAGCTTGTGAGCGTATGACGGAATGGGCTGGGCGGCGGCCTGTGGGCCCTGCCTGTGGGGCCGTCGGTGTAGCTCCCCGTGGGGCCACGAAGCGCGTGAAACGTATGCCGAAATATGCTGGGCGGCGGCCTGGGAAACCTGCCGCTGGGACCTTTTTTTGGTGGAGCTGCCTATAGGGCACGAAATGTTTGAGGGTGTCATCAATGTGGCCTGGGCGACGGCATGTGGACCTTGCCGCCGGGACCTCCGATGAGCTCCTCATGGGGACACGAAGCGTCTGAGGGGCGTGCGGACATGGGCTGGGCGGCGCACTAAGAACCCTGCCGATGGGGCCTTCGGTGGAGCACCTCACAAGGCCACGAGACTTGCGGGGGATGTGGCGAAGCAGAGACGCGGGGGAACAAGGGGGGTGTTTTGATGATGTTGATGAGGATGGTGGTGGTATTGATGATGGAGACGGCGAGAATGCTGATGAGGCTGATGATGATGGTGATGGCGACGATGACGATGGACGATGACGACGGAGACACGCGGAGAGCAGAGGCAGATACGCGAAGAGGGAGGACGAGGGAGGGGGCCGGAAGGAATGACGCGGGGCGTGTCTCTTCAAAACGAAGAACCAACACTGCAATATGGTAGGAAATTTCTGGACGACCCCCCCCCGTGGCGCGGTCAATGTCCGCGACAGCATCGCTGGCACTACGAACGAAATGATCGAACTCTTCCTGCGACGTTACCCGCGGGGTGGATCAGCCAGGGATGGGGGTCGAAACCGCCCCAGCGCAAAGCAAATGTACAATCCTGAGAAACCCCAGCCCACATCAACCGATCCGCAACAAGCACGCAAGCCTTTGACGACCCCAACGCACGCGACATCGCATAACGCGACGCGCCATCGAAAACGTTCGACGCGCGGACTCGGAATGACATCGGGCTTCATGGAACGTCGAATGGAAAACATGAAAAACCGCCCTGTGGGCTCCGAGACCCAAAACTACTGATGTGAAGGATTTCGGCTCGTCGACCCAGGCATTGGCTTGCGCGCTTGAATTTGGCTCCCCCGCGGCCCCCTACAGCCGGGCACGAAAGGGCACTTTTGCCTGGGGTCACTCTTGCGCGTCGCCGACAAAGGCGGGGCTGCCTGTCCTGTGCAATTCGGGACCGTCGGGGGCAGGTTTCGGGCCCCAAGGCCATCAAAAAACGACTCGGAGTGGAAAACCAGCCTTGGGGAAAGGGGGCGGAAAAATTGGAGGCCCATGTCTCGAACACGTCCAGCCGCCGGATGTCCAGGGGGGGGTGAGGGGGGGAGGAGGGAGAATAGACGGGAGCGGCAGGAACCGCGCCCTTACCCTCGACGAAACTGGAGTGCGCGGAGTTTGGCGCACGGCACGCCGGAGAGACCAAGACTCAGTGCGCTGAGCATGGCACGGGGGCTCGTTCATTACACTGGCGAAAGCTGAATGGCCGAAGCTGGGGCACGGACGGGAACGTTAGATGCTCGTTTTCGGAGCTTCCTGGGGTCCACCTAACGGATCTGTTCGATTCTAGCTCGATCCCACTTCGACTCAAGTTCGACTCAAGTTCGACTCAGGTTCGACTCAGGTTCGACTCAAGGTCCACTCAAATCGACTGACGTTCGACGCAGCTTTGACGCAGATGAGCGAGTGCCTGCAGGAAGGTCCCCAGAATGAACACCCAAGGGACGGGACGTGGTGAGCAAGAGGGGGAGGGATGCATAGTGTGTATGTATCCGTAAGGGTTTCACCCCCTGCCTCCAGCCCCCCTCGCGGTCATAGTGCGCAATATCAGAGCCATAGTGGCATGGTTGAGCGTTGCCTTGAAGCAGCATTGGAACATCATACGAGGGAAGCTGGCGATTAGCAGAGCAGATGGAGAGGTTGAAATTGTTGTTGTACGCTTTGCTGCCTTTTTGGTTGTACGCTTTGCTGCCTTTTTGGAGCGTTTTTCCGATGATGTAGATTGGAGGCCTTCTGGGACAGACTGGGGGCTGCCTGGGGCCATCTTCGGCAGAAACGTGCGGCTGGAACTGCCTGGGGGTCCCTCGCACCCCTCGCTATTTTAAAGGGTTCGTGGCCTCCAGTCGGCGGCTAGCGAGGGGGGGGAAATGAGCAGGAGAAGGCCTTCTAAGAAGGCGGCGGGATTTCTCAGAAGCCCTCGCGCCTTCTGAGAGGTGTTTGTGTGTGTCTTCGGGGAAGGCCTGGGAAACTTCCCAGAAGGCCAGGGGACTTCCGAGCCTTCTGAGAAGGCCTTCTCCTTCGCATTGCCCCCCCTCCCTCGCCGCCGACTCGAGTCCAAAGCCGAGTGTTCAAGTTCAGGAAACGGCCGGGGGGGGGGGCGGCGGGAGGGGGCGAAAAGCGCCCCCCGAGCACCCGTGGCAATGCAGGACGAACAGTCTGGCCTCCGCGGAGGGGGCTCGTGGCCTCTCGGGGCCGCGAGCATGCTGCATGATCTGCAGGGGCTCGTGGCCTCGTCGGGAGCGCGAGAGCACTGCCGTTCACTGTACTGACGGTGGGTTGTGCTTTCGGGGGGGGGGGGGGAGGGGGGGGCGAATACGGCGTAGCTCAGGAGGGGAAAAGACACAGACACAAGTAATCGTCGATTCCCCGGAAAAATGGGAAAACATGGGAAGTGGGGGGGAGGACCAAAACCCAGAAAATATGCGAAAATGTGGGGAATCTTTGCATTCGTGTGTATTTCTGTGTGTGTCTTTGGGCCCCTTGAGTAGCTGACCAGGGGGTTGTGGCCCTCGGGGGAGCGAATGCGCTGCAATGTGTAAAGAGGACTGTGGCCTCGGGGGCGCGAGCGTGAAGGCGCTTCCGTGGGGGAGTGGCCTCGGGGGCGCGAAGATGCTGCAACTCAAGACTGCTCCGTGGTTTCGAATGGTGCGAACTTGGTGTAATCTGCTTTGACTTGCGGCCGCGGGAGCGGGCCTGCGTCGTGATGCGCGTTGCGGCTGGCCAGGGGTTGTGGCCCCCGGGAGCGCGAGTGCAGGATCACCATGGATTGTGACCGCGGGAGCGCGCACGCACTGCTTTTTGCAGCAGAAGGGGGGCCGGGGGAGCGCGGATGTGACGTCGCTGACGAGGGGCCCGCGGCCTCGGGGGGCGCGAGTGCGACGCAGCCTGGAAGGGACTGCGGCCGCAGGAGCGCGAGCGCCACGCGTCGGGCGCGCACACGGGCGTCCCGATCTGCCAGGGGCTGCGGGCTCGGCGGCGCGCCCGTGTGGTCGTCTGCAGCGCCTGTGTGGCCCCGGGAGCGCGGGCGCAGTGTCCTCGGTGGAGGGCTGCGGCCTCGGGGGCGCGAAGGCTGCGCCGTCTACGAGGGTAGTGGCCTCGGGGAGCGCGAGCGTGACGTGATGGAAGCAAGGACTGCGGCCTCGGGAAGCGGGAATGTGATGCACGGTATCAGGGACCGTGGCGTCGGGAGCGCGCCTGCGTCGCAATTTGCTTGGGGGTGTGGCCCCAGGAGCGCGCACGTGTGGTAAATTGCGTGCCTCGGGGCCCCCAGAAATTCTCAGGATGTGATTCGAAGGTGGTAGCAGGGCGCTTTTCGGCCAAGGGCGATCACGCGTTCAGCAACCTTCCAACCTTGGAAAAGAGAAACCCGATCCTATAGCATCTGACACCTTCGCACGAGAACTGAGAACTGTTGCAGGAACAGAAGCCTCTGCCACGAAGCCTCTTGGCCACCAAGGGGGGCAGCGAACACATGGGGAAAGTAGAGGAAGACAACAATAAAACATAAGCATGAATTTTCGGAGCTCTGCGCGGATGTCCTGAATCAGCGCTGGACCCGCGCCAGTGGCGACGCCGGAGGCGCTGCCAGGGTTGCCCAGCTCCGATGCAAGAAATCCGCGCGCAGCTCCGAAAGTGTATTTAAATGCAGTTGTCCTTCTTCCTGGTGAAGGATAGCGGGATACACATAGATCTATATATATATATATATGCATGTACAGAGAAAGAGAAAGAGAGAGAAAGAGAGAGGCAGAGAGAGAGAGCGCGCAAAAAAGAGAAGGGAATGATCGCGCTGCGCTAGCTCTGCTAGTTCGTATGCCCAGCGAGATAAGATTGCCTTAACGTGCGTGGTTTCGCAGACGTAATTCCACTCTTGCCTGATCCTCACTTTGCCTATGATTTAAACCAGTTCGACGCTCGACGGGCCATGTCCAGGCATTTCGATTTATCTACGCAGTGTGATCACGTTCTCATTCTAAGAATATTTGCGAGCGCACATGCTCAACTGCATCGGCGTCGGCCCAATTCTAGCTGCAAGTGTCCATCTGATGCCACAATGTGTGGGGAGCCTACGGCGCTCAATGACCTCGAAGGGTGGGGAGGTGTATTCTTCACTGCTGGATTGCACACGGAAGACGTACCATAGGCACGGAGTTCTGGGCTTCTACAAAGGTCGGCTGGGAGGCACGCCTGCCAAAGTTTCATTGGTTCACAGGGCCTGAAAGATGACCCACCCGTTCTTCTAATTCCAAACGTGAGCAAAGAAAAGTGTTCTTGGAGCGATTGAGCATACCCTTCGCGCCTTATGATGTCAAAGTCCGGTTTCGCTGCGGCAAAGGATCATGAGGAGACGGAGCAGCAGCAGGAATGAGGGGAATGGAACGATCATGGAAAGGGGAGCACCACGGGCAGGTGGCCTTTGTAGTCACCCTCGCCAGTCCAGACTGCACGCCGCGAGTTGGGGGCACGAGGTGGGGAGAGGGAGGCGAGACGAGAAAGAGAGTGAGTGGGGCGTCCGAGCGGTGTCGCGAAAAAAGCGAAAAGAGCGAAGGGAAATGAAGCACGCGGTTCCTCGTGGCAGCAGCCGCAGCAGGATATGCGTGACGTTCTTCGCAGCAGCTTCATAATGTTTGTTAGCGAGCAGAAGCGAAAAACCCGAAGCTGCCCGAAACGAATCTCAGTGCTCTCCTCTCCCATCTGCCACATTATTTTATCAATGGTTTGACATCCCCAGGCTTTCTCAGCGACCTCGGCAGTCTGCCAAATAGTCACGCCCGTCTTCTCACCACAAGGGGGAGTGGAGGTGTTGGCTCGCCGCTCGCTTTCCAGGCCGGGCTCCTGCAATTGATCGCGTGGCTGGTGGCATTTCTCATTGTTCTTCCATCGTTGCTTGCCCCGCACATCGCCTTCCACATCAGGCTTCAACATGCCTGGCCCTGGTTGTGCTCGTCTGGTTCACAGAACTCGTGATATCCCCGTCCATCAATTTCTCTCTTGGCGTCCTTGTGGCCCTCCAGTGATATCCTGCTGCTCACCGCTTCCTTGAGGTATTCTTCCGGGCTACCATTTTCGGGTCGTACGATGTCGCGCAGAACATATTACGTACTAGTCAGGACAGATTTGTGGCCTTTCTTGTATATCCTCGCACAACTTATCGAAGAAATCATGTTCATGTTCCGTTTCACATTCTGTTGGCGTGGTACGTTGCTTCATGTCTCGGCAAACGCAGTGCTTCGGTACACTCCGCAGCGCGACCAATTCCGTCATTCGGGACGAGTGCCCAACCACAGCGACAACGGATGTTGGGTTCTGTTTCCACCAACAGCAAGTCGTCACACTCATGACGGAAACAAGTCCAAGCAATGTGGCGAAGTTGGATCACAGGCGCGGGCGTGTCAGCACAGTTCAGCTCGGACAATCATAATTGGATTGCCACGACGATGTTACTTGTCAAAGATACCCGGGAAAGTGCATTCACGACGTGGTGCAGGCGAATCGACCTCACACGTTTAGCAGTCGGTTTGCATTACCCAATTACAACCGGAGGACATACCCAATAGAACACGGTGTTCAAGACATTGGCTCGCACGATCCAAACAGACCCAAAGAGCATTCGGGAATCCTACGCATCTTGCGGGTTCCTTTGCTGCGGACAGACGACACAAGCGAGTATGATTAGGACAGCTGTTCACATGGGCCTTTCTCCCGATTAATTGTACGATGCCCATGTAAGCTATACGCTTGATTCGGAGGTGTGCGAAAGATGTAATATGGATTGACACAATGCTGCCTCTGCGTAGCATCTGTAATCTTGCAACTGGATGATAATACACGGTTGGCCAAGTTCGTCCGTGAATTTTTTTTTGTCGGGCGGCAACGAACACGATGCGCGAAGCAAATCGGCACAACGCCAGGTTTGCGATTTATGGTTGCTAGCGTCCCGGTAAGGTTTGAGCACAATAGAGCTGATTTCGGGTATACGCACGGCAACCGACGCACATCAATTTTGCTCGGAAGAAACAAGTTGTGGCAAATGTGGTTGGACAAAGTAAGTGATATAACAAAAATGAGCGTGAGATATTATTTTCCCGTGCAGACTGCGGATACGACTTGCGTTACACAACAAATTGGCGTGCGAATGTTAACCGTTGACGTTTTTTGTATTCCCATCAGCCCATTCAGAAACGATGCTTGGGCGAGTTGCGTTAGTCAGGGAAGTGTAGGAGGAAGCAGTGGAACATAAAGAAAAAAACAGCTGTCACAACCGAAGAGCGGGATCTGCCTGAGCAGTCAGAGGAGTCAACCATCTATCTGGCTTCGCGGGTCTTTCAATACGCGAGCCTTTTGGCATCTCATTTGGGCAATCTTGGGACCATCGTGGAACAGTGGGCTCTCTTGGGGCCCTCGTGGGGCCGTGTTGAGACCATCTTGGAAACCATCGATGCGCAAAGAAGGCAGCGCTCATATCAGTCCCCCCGTCGGGGCCAAAATAATGTTTCTTATGGCCCTTTGGGGGCGTCTGTGGAGCGCTATTAGGGTCGTCTTGGAGCCATCTTGGAGACATCTTCAGGCGGAGCGAAAACGACGAGCAGGCAAAAAACGTAAGAAAACACAATGTGTTGAAGGATTGTGGTCTCTTGGGGGCCTCCTGGGGGGGCTCCGTGGCCATTTGGACACGTCCTGGAGCGCTATGGGGGTTTCTTGGTGGCACGCGGGAAGCTAGCTTGAACCGTTTTTGTCTTGAGCGATTTTAGGGGGCATGTTGGACCATCGGGGATTCTCAGGGGAACATCTTGGGCTGCCTTGGACGCTCTGACCGCTCGCGGCCCCATCCCTGCCAGACCCATGTGTCGGACCTGTACATCTACATATGCTCGGGGGCCAGGAACGGGGGCCTTAAGGGCAACCTCCAGCCCCCATGCTGGAGGCAGGGATCCTGGGCCCCTCCAAGACGGGCCAGGAGGCTTCCAAAAACCCCCACGATGACCCAAGAGGGACGCGCATCGCCGAAGAACCGCTCCAAGACGCCTAAGATGGCCCCAAGACGTCCCGAGAGACCGGCCAAGACGGACCAAGGGCATTGCCGAGAGCGCCCCAAAACGCCCAAATGGCTTCACTCCCTGATTTCTCTGCGCTCATGGCGTCGAAGATGGCACAAGGAGCCCTGAAGACCGCCCCAAGGCAGCCCAGCAGGCGCCCAAGAGCGTCCTAGGACAGCGCAGAAGAGCCCCAAGGCAGCCCAAGAGAGCCCAAAGACGGCCCAAAAAGTAGCCCAAGAGCGGGGGCCCGAACCAACAATTCGCTTCTGTGGGTTCTCTTGGGAGTGCTCCTGGAGGCCTCTTGGGGCATCTTGGAGGCCTCTATGGCCATTTTGGAGGCCTCTTGGGCCGTCTGGATGCCAGCTTCGGCGTCGTGGAGCGATCTTCGGGCGTCTCGGGCCTCTGTTGGACCGTGTTGGGTGCCTCTTGGGGCCCTTTTGGGGCGATCCTGACAGCCCTGGGGGAGTCTCCCAGGCCGCGCCTGGGCCGCGCACGGGGTACTTTTGGTCCAGGGACCTCCAGGGGCCGCCCCGCACGCGCGAAGTAGAAATATTATTCAGATGTTACCGGAGATCTTAGCACGCCGCCAGCCCGTTTGGCCGGCGAATTGTATGTCCGCGTCTCTTCCGATAAAGAGAGTACACGATTCCAGAGTAGGAAGTACTATATCGATGAGTTGCTGAAAAATATTCCCACCTTCCCTCGAGGATTCGGTTCCCAGGCTCCAAGATCAGTTTTCGAGAGCATCGAATTACCAGATAAGCGAGGTTTCTCCGGGATCGATCGGCCTCCGAGAGCTTCTTCGCCCGTGTCCTACGGAGGATTCGTAGCGGCTTTGGGGCAGAACTGCGGCAGCAAAGGATTCAAGGTTGCTGATATTGCTCGTTGAGCCCCTCTAAATCTGCAAGCCTCTGCGGGGACTTCAAACAAAAACAAATTGCGAATCCCGCGACAGAGCGACGGTAGGGCACGGGCAAAGGAAAAGGATACCCATATCAACCATCCATCTTTATTCTTTCCTGAGACATGAATACTAGTTCGAAACAGCTTTCCGATAGAAAGGTTCTATATAGTCCGCATTGTCTAAGGCACAAGTTTGTTCAGCAACCAATTGTGTTCAGACACAGTTCCACTCGCACCTTGGGACTGCTCCGTTGGAGAAGGTACAGCTTCGAGAATCATCTTGATTCTCACATTGTTCTTTACTGCGCAGGGAGTTATCTCGCCGCGCCGTCCGCCTGCACAGGGCGCGAGTCTTCAATTTCAGGCGGTGTCTTCCTTCAACGGGGGTTATTTGGAAGATGGTTGGCCCTGTTCCAGAAATTCCATGTCCGCCTGAAGCTGGCCCCAGCAGTTCAATCGGCCAAACTCTGAAAATAAATCCTCTCCCAGATTCGGACCAGCCTCTGGAAGAAGAGCCAGCCAAGAAGAAGGCGAAGGGAGAGAGGGAAGCAAAAACGTCGTCTTTTCGAGATGCATGGAGAATCGGCCCCTTTTACGTCACCTATTACGTCAGACGCTCAACAAGTACATTCGGGACAATAACTGGACGGTGCATTCCGCAATGGAGATAAGAATTTCCAGGCGGATTATAAGAAATACAACAACTGCACAAACAAAAGCATTGTGTTTCACGAGGAAAAAAAACGGCAAAGCTTATTGAGGCAATTGGGACTTGCATTGGGAATCAAACCAGCGAGGCGAGCAATTGAGGAACGCAAAGAAATACGTCCAGATGATCACGGAGAAGAAAGCAGACCGGTTTTTTTATTACACGATGGAGTGAATCCAGATTATGCCACGGAACAAGAAGCATTCAAAGCGTTGCAGACCACAACGGTGAAACAAAGCGAGCGGGAGAGAGAGAGGGAGAGGAGGAGAAAGAGGGAGGGAGAAGGAAGGGAGCAGCAGAGCAGAACAAGCAGGGAGGGAGCGAGGCGAAGGCGGAAGGGCGACGGAAGAGCAGGGAGCGGAGAGGGTGGAGGAGCCGGGGAAAGGAAGAAGACGGCGGACGACAGCGACGACAGCAGAACGCAAGGAAAGAAAGAGGGGAGGGAAGGAAAAACACAGGGAGGGAGGCAAGGGAGACAGGGTGGAAGGGACGAGAAGGAGAGCGAGATTATGATTATATTGATTACTACTACTACTACTACTACTACTACTACTACTACTACTACTACTACTACTACTACTACTACTACGACTACTACTACTACTACTACTACTACTACTACTACTACTACTACTACTACTACTACTACTACTACTACTACTACTACTACTACTACTACTACTACTACTACTACTACTACTACTACTACTACTACTACTACTACTACTACTACTACTACTACTGCTACTACTACTACTACTACTACTACACAACTACTACGACTACTACTACTACCTACTACTACTACTACTACTACTACTACTACTACTACAACTACTACTACTACTACTACTACTACTACGACTACTACTACTACTACTACTACTACTACGACTATACTACTACTACTACTACTACTACTACACTACTACTACTACTACTACTACGACTACTACTACTACTACTACTACTACTACTACTACTACTTCTACTACTACTACCACTACTACTACTACTACCTACTACCTACGACTACTACTACCTACTACTACTATGATTACTAGTACTACTACTACTACTACTACTACTACTACTACTACTACTACTACTACTACTACTACTACTACTACTACTACTACTACATTACTACTACTACGACTACGACTACTACGACTACTACTACTACTACTACTACTACTACTACTACTACTACTACTACTACTACTACTCTGCTACTACTACTACTACTGCTACTACTACTACTACTACTACTACAACTACGACTACTACTACTACTACTACGACAACCCCTACTACGTTTTTTTTTTACTACTACGACTACTACTACACTATTCTACGAATGCTACTACTACGAACTACTACCACTATTACTACTACTACTACTACTACTAACTACACTATTACTATTGCTACTACGATGTGTTTATAGGTATATATATAT